TCTGGTGCTGGCAGCTGATGCGAGCGCCTGGCAGGAGCATGGTGTGCGGGAGCAAAGAATTTTCAGTAACCACCAGAGGCTCGCCCCAATGACAGCGATCAGCACCACACCTTGGTCTGGTGCCCCTGCTCACCTGCTCCACCATCCCGCCATGGCCAATGTCCACCATGTTCTGTGCTCTACCACCTGCTGCCAACACCCGCCATGTTTCACGTGTGCCCCCTGGTGGTCAGCGTACATCATAGCAACTGGTTATTTGTTTGGTTGATTGTTCCATCGTTTGGTCTATTTGCACATTAGGGTTTTATATATATAGATGGTGTGAGCCCTAGCCAGTTTGACTCAGTGGATAGAGCATTGAAGCAGATTAAAGGGTCCTGGGTTCGATTCTGGTCAAGGGCACGTTCCTGGGTTGAGGGCTCAATCCCTAGTCCTGGTTGGGGTGCATGAAATTGGCAACCAAATGATGTGTCTCTTCACATCAATGTTTCTCTCTATGTCTCTCCCCCTCCCTTCTACTCTCTAAAAATCAATGGAAAAATTATCCTTGGGTGAGGATTAAACAAACAAACAAAAACTGGTGTAGTATAGGCATAAAGATGAATATATGGACAAATGGAATAGAAGAGAGCGCTCAGAAACAAACCATCATATGTATAGCAAAATGATTTTTTAAAAATATATATTTTATTGATTTTTTACAGAGAGGAAGGGAGAGGGATAGAGAGTTAGAAACATCGATGAGAGAGAAACATCGATCAGCTGCTTCTTGCACACCTCCTACTGGGGATGTGCTCGCAACCAAGGTACATGCCCTTAGCAGGAATCGAACCTGGGACCTTTCAGTCCGCAGGCCGATGCTCTATCCACTAAGCCAAACCTGTTAGGGCGCAAAGTGATTTTAGACAAGGGTGACAAGGCCATTCAATGGTAATGGGTAGTCTTTTCAACAAATGGTGTTGGAAAAACTGGAAATCCACACACAAGGAATGAAGGTGGACTCTTACTTTACACCATCTATGATAACTAATTTAAAAAATGGATCTACACTGCCCTGTCTGGGTAGGGCAGTTGGTTAGAGCATCATCCCAATATACCCATGTTGTGAGTTTGATCCCTAGTCAGGGCATATATAAGAAAGCAGTCAATGAATGTATAAGTAAGTGGAACAACAACTTGATGTTTCTTTTTCTCTCTCAAAATAAACAAACAAATAAATAAGAATTTCCTTCCTTAAAAAAATATCTACACCTAAACCTAAAACTTCTAGGAAAAATTTCATGATACTGGACTTTCCAATGTTTCTTAGATATAAGAAATATACCAAAAGCACAGAAAAAAAACACCCCAAAAAAGATATAGACTATATCAAAATTTAAAACTTTTGTCCATTAAAGGACACTATCAACAGTGAAAAGACAACCTACACAGAATAGGAGAAAATACTGTAACTCATATTTCTAATGTGGGTTTAACATCCAGAATATATACACAACTCCTACAACTCAACAACAAAACAACCAGATTAAAAAATGGGCAAAGGATTTGAATACACATTTCTCCAAAGATATACAAATGGCCAATAAGTACATGAAAAGATACCCAACATCACTAATAATTAGAGAAATGTAAATCAAAATCACAATAAGATACCACTCCATATCTATTAGAGTAGCTAGTATTAAAAAAATAGAAAATAAGTGTTGGTAAGGAGGTAGAGTAATTAGAACCCTTGTGTAATTCTGATAGGAACATAAAATGTACAGCCACTGTGGAAAACAGTATGGTGGTTCCTCAAAAACTTTAAAAGAGAATTATCATATAATATAGCAATTCCACTTCTGAATATACACCCAAAAGAACTGAAAGCAGACACTAAAGTAAGTATTTGCACACCCAAGTTCATAGTAGCAATATTCATTCACAATAGCCAAAAGGTGGAATCAACCCAATAATCCACTGAGGAGTGAATGGATAAACAAAATGTGCTATCTACATACAATGGAATATTATCTATAATAATAAAAGCATAATGTGCTGATTATGTAAATTAGACAAAGCTGGGGCTGGGAGGGAAGCCCGGGTTCTGGGTGCCTGCCAGTGGCCAGAGGGAAGCCCGGGTCCTGCGTGCCTACCAGTGGCCAGAAGGAAGCCGGTGCCAGCAGCCAGGGGAAGGAAGGCCTATTCTTGCACGAATTTCATGCATCGGGCCTCTAGAAGGTCATAAAAAGGAAGAAAAGTCTGACACATCCTACTACATAAACTAACCTTGATGATTATGCTAAGTGTAATAAGCCAGTCACAAAAAGATAAATACTGGGTAATTTTATGTATTAAAAATAATTAAAGTTTTATGTTATGTATATTTTACCACAACTAAATTAAAAAGAAATAAAAACAACATAAAATCACGCTGAAATAATGAATGTGATTGTTTGGGAACCGAAGTGTCTCCACTTTGTAATTTTTGGTATCATCATGATAGTAAGTTTTTATACTTAACTAGTGGCCCGGTGCACAAAAATCTGTGCACTCGGGGGTGGGGGGATCCCCTCAGCCCGGCCTATGCCCTCTTGCAGTCTGGGACCCCTCGGAGGATGTTCACCTGCTGGCTTAGGCCTGCTCCCTGGAGTGATCAGGCCCAAGCTGGCAGTCAGACATCCCTCTGGCAGCCTGGAAGCCCTTG